CAATGAATATTAATCAAAATATTAGCTTAAAATTCAAATAATCTAATAAATTTTTAATGTCCTTAAAGGCCCATTAATATTTTACTAGATATCAGAGGTTTAGTAGAACTGGCCTGTTAAAAATATTTTACTAAATTTGCCAGATCTTTGCAATTTTTTAATATAATTTGCAGATATCTGATAATATAAAATAATTGCATAAAAAAATATTTTTTTATAAAGAATCTGTATCTAGATTCTATTTCTGTAGGACCTGCTCAACTCAGGTGGTGCTGATCATATTATAAGAGTTGCTTTCATCCATTTCACATAAAGTAAAATACTTACGTAATTTCAAAAATGGTAAGATTCTCATTCTCACTTATATCTGCTGTTACATCAATAGTAGAAGCAATAGAATATTCTAAATCTATAATGGACATTTACATTTACCTATTAAAATAAATATTAATATATTATTATAAATTTATATTAAATAACTTGTAAGAGCTCTAAATCTCGTAAAATTTAGGAAATGAATAAATATATCTATAAAATAAATGGTGGAATGGAAGTTGATAAAATATGAAGATAGATATTTTTTTAAAAAATAATATTTTAATTTAATTTTCAAAATTTTTATTTTATTTATTGCTTTTTAAGTAAAAAATTAATTTTTAAAAAGATCGGGATCGAATTTTAAACAAAATGATCTCGATCTCGATCCTCAATTTAAGTCAGAATCATAAATCTCGTAAAATTGACAAATTTGCGATAGAATCCAGGATCGTCGATCTTTTGATTCGATCTTTTAACAACTCTGGTTGCAGGAGAGAGATGACTGCGTGTAAACTAAAAAATTGCGGGAGTCTCCCGCTGATGGGGGGAGACATGGCAACCCTGGTTAAGTGTGGGCCCAAATTTAAACTTACCTTTATTAAATTATTTTGCACCATATTTTATATAATATATATTTTGAAAACAATCATCTATCGAGATTTTAATCTATCTATAAGATTGTTAAGTTATTATGGAGTTGGTCAAAAATAAAATAAATATTGTCACATTTTAAGCCAAAATTATTATTTATCAAGCTACTGAAAAATCCAAACCTAATAACATAATTTTCAGTGATAAAATTTAAAAAACTCTATTGTTTGTGTAAACCCCATGTGTACTCAGGAGGTTAAGATCCATTATTCCTTATTAGTAATAATAATTATAATTTGCTAATAAATATTGATATGATGAAAATTAGCTTTTATATAAATGATATTCTATTTAAAAAAGTGCGTGAAAAATCTTAAAATTTACGAATTAACAATATCAGTCACAAAAAATATTGGAAAAATGGCACGCTCCCCAAAGACTCCGTGATTCGTTATAGGATGGGCGTTTGACCTTTCTATTAGTATTAATATCATTTAACTAAACAACTCCATAAGCTTTACATATTAACTTAAGTTTTGAAATTAATTAGTGATTTGAAAGGTTTGGCAAAATTCATGCTTAGCATAGCGTCTTAATATCATAATTTATATACTATTTTTGAAAATATAACTAGATTAAAAATTTAATGAGATTTAAACTTTTTTACTTCTATTAGATTCAAAAATATTTTGAATCGTTGAAAAAAAAACATCATTGTACCTAGACTTAATTGATTTTTGAATCTTAATTTAAAATTCGATATTTAGAACTCAGCTTAAGGTTTCGCTTAGAAATGGTGTTTATTTATTGATTGAAAAAAAACTTGATAAATTAGTAAGTACTAATCAATTACATATTCTTCCTATTAGCGTGAAGTCAATTATGGCATTTTTTATTTATTTTGGCAATGTTTATCTTTAAATTATTTATCAAATGGGAAGCTCTAAAAAAATATCTAATTGTAATAATTATTGTGGTAAATATCAGACTCTGGCTGACTTTACGCGTATAAGGCGTAATATCATAGTTTTATATTTGGATCATAATTCTGTTACGTTTTTATGGCTGGTGAAATTGAATAAAGAATAATAAATAACCTAAATGGATTAACTTAATTTACAATTAAGCACTAAAAATTGATAAAATTTTCAGAATAACGTTTTCAGTTGCTCTAATCGTGAAGTTGGTCAAAATTCTGTGACTAACAATTTTTTCCTTTATAATGTCAACTATACTGGTTAAAGTGAAACACTAATGAAGCACAAATATTGGCATATTTTAGAATCAGCCAACTTTAAAGGAGATAATATAAAAATCACGGGGAAATAATATTTAATATTTTTTTATAAGAGGACACCGAAATTTTAATATCACCTAATGTTTCTTGAAATATTCTTGTTATTAATTTACAACATTTAAATTTTTAATAGAATTTATATATTAGGAATTGGACTTTTTTCTAATAATTAATTCTTTGTATTTATTTACATTTTAATAGCCCAAAAAATTTATATTTTATTTTTAGCACATATTTATTTTTTATATCAAGTCAATACCACGAAATATTTTTCGCGAAATGTATTATAGCTGAATGCATAAACGTGAATGACGTTTAATGAAATTTCTGCTAATGCATCCCGGCCGGTGGTTTTACCTCTACAATATCTTGAATGTATTAGCGAATGCATTACCACGAAACATTATCGTTAATTAGAGCAAATGTATAACCGTTAAAATATTATTGCGATTGCATTAAAGAGAATATATTACAGCGAAAACATTACTGCCAATGTATTAAACAGCAAACATATTGCCGCGATAACAATATCGCTAATACATTATGCGAATTTAATACCGCGACTGCATTATAAAGAAAGAATTATTGTGAATGCAATACATCGAATGCAATAGTGTTTTATTTATATATCTATTTATATTTGACAAATGGTTGATATAAATAATATAAAATATTAAAATTAAGTTTCTACCTCTATTTTATAATAAGGAATTTTAAAATATTTCAGAAATTATAATTTTATTACCCTATGGGAGTGCGGGGCCCATAATTTTATTTCGCCTTATCTCTTTTTGGCTGAACTCTCTACTGCTATATACTAACCCATTTAGCAAGTTCAAACTTTTTCCAAAGTTCTAGAGCCGTACTAATTAATGTTTTAATATTTATTATTACTATAATACATATAATTTTAAAATCTTTTATGGATATTCTGCGTATTATAGTAAATGTCAAAGAAAAATGAAAAGCACAAACCTAGATTTAAGGAAATTTTAAGTAACCCTCGACTCCATAAATTTCGATAAATAAAGTAAGGTAATCTTTTCCAATCATTTATAAAATGCAATTGCAGTAATTCATTTGTTAGAAAATGCTTTAGCGATATTACAGTTGAGATAATACATTTGCGATATTCATGATAATATTTTCCCAGGCGATTATAAATTCATGGTAATATATTCTCGAAAAGGCTGCATTCATAGTGGAGACGGATCCGATTTTTACATCCGTTCCGTCAAAAGTCAATCTCATTAAAAATGTTATATATGTTCATAGTGCGTATGTTCCGATACCTTCCGTCTTAATTACGGATCCGGCAAATTTTGAAGTCAAAACATTTTGACTTTTTGATCCGGCAAATCTTATAGAGCGTTATAACGTTACTTACAATTTTTTTATAGTCTATGAACATTTATATCATTTTTAATGAGTTTGACTTTTGACGGAACGGATCCGTCTCCACTATGAATGCATAGCGGTAATATATTTGCGGAAATGAATTCTCTATAAACTTTGGCGGTAATACATTGCTTTAATATATTTACGAAAACACCTATTCGCAGTAATGTATTCGTGGAAATAACTTTTCTAGGAAATATGCATTCGCGATGTAGTAATGACACGCCATTTATTTTATAGTAATTCATAATAAATAGTAATATGTTCATTTTAGATTCATCTATTCCAAAAAGGCAAGACCGAAATTTTTAGCCCTTAAAAAATTTAGCCTTAGGGTTAAATGACAGTTGGTTACATATATTTAATCATTTATAACAGTGTTATGGTGTATAGAATTATATTTAAATTTGTATTGGATAAATTCACAGATTATTTAAGTATTGGTAATTGTTAATTTTTTTTAGATTTTCTTACCCCCCCCCCTTACTATTGCGTAAATTATATAGTTTTATTAATTTAATAATCGATTTATAATTAAAATAAAATATGTAAACTATGTAAAAGATAATATATTTAGAAATAGAATTTAAAATCCATATAAAAAATGAGGTTAAAAATAGTCATCTTCCTCTGGTGACAGCCACAAATCTTTAAATAATCTAAAATTGTAGCTTAATATAAAGCGCATTTTGTGTTTAATGAAAGGGTCCTCAGGATTTGATTTTATAACTCTTTCAGTTAAATAGTTTGATTAGGGATTAAGATGCTTTCTCAAAATATTAATGAATTCTACTAATGGAAGCATTATGTCTTTATCACTCCTCTGAATCCTCACTTTAACTAAGTTGTCCTAATACTGGACCAATTAAGTTAATATATTATTAATTGTGTTGGAAAAGCATGATGGTTTAAAATAAATTTTTTATTAAAATTCATGGTTCATATATGAATTCAAGTAAATGGATATCTTAATTGTTTTTTTAATATAATTTTTATTCAGTGTTTGTTTTAATTTTAAATATATATTTATATTTTTATAATCGTTTAAATTACAGGTAAAATTTGATATGAAATTTAAAGTTGGGGAAACTGAGGTTAGGTAAACCCTGGGGCTTGGCAAACCATTTAATCTCATTTTAAAATTAAATAGACCAGAAGGTTAAAATTTTATCATAATATGTTTAACATCTATAGACAAAAAATCTTTTGAAATAATTAATTATTAAAAATTTTATTTAAGAAATAAAAGTTTGATGAAATTTTCAAATAGCAAAAGGCCTATAAAAGTGGACAAAAAAAATCAAGGGGATAAAATTCACTTTTTTTTTTATTGAACTGTTGAAAAGTAAGATATTTTAATAAAATCAGAAAAATTATATGTAATAACCTAAAAAAACAATATTGTCTATTAAAAGAACTAAATTCATTAGAACATTTCATTGAATTATTTTTAAAATAAAATAAATGCATAGCCTTTTTATATAAATTATCTAATCAGCATTAAGTAGTGTGGATTATGCTACCTGTAAAAACACTCTTATTTTACAAACCCACTTTAGCATTATCAACATAAGATATTTTTATTGATAGTTATTTTTAAATTCAATTCTAAAATAAAAAAAATTAAATAAATTACTTATTAATAATATCAAAAAATAAGTGTGGGTTATTTGTGATAGTTCTCTGTTTATTGGGGAAAAAATTATGGAGTTTCATGCTGATGGCTAGCAGCTTGAATTGTAGGTTAGTTTTTAAAAAATGATGCTCTTAGCTTATTTGTGAACTAATAATATAGAAAGCTATATTTTAATTTAAACAAATATATATAGTGGGTTGGTATATCTAATAATAAAATGTTAAGAATATAATATATTTTATATCTAAAGATTTATTGTAAAAAAATTTGCATTATTCCCCATCTTCGTTATTGTTAATTATTATTAACAGAATTTTGCTCATTTGTGGTAATAAGTTGGGCTGAGAAATTATTTTGTGCTTGATTGCTTGTAAAATTATCAATATCATCAGAAGCATTAGATAAGGAATCTTCAATATTTACATGATTCTATTTTTTAATCAAATTTTATTTATATAAATAAATTTACTGGTTTCTCTGGTAAATTATTTTGATAATCTTTCATTGTAGGATTCACCATCATTTTAATCTAGTTAAAAATAAATGAATATATTTACAATAGCAAACCTTTTCTAAATAATTATTAGCTGCGACATTTATTGCCTTATCATCTTTTAAATAATTATTTCTTTCTATAGATGGAAAAATAAATTCAGGAGTAAATTTTGGGAAAATAGGTATCATTTAATGTATTTATATCTTATCTTATCTTCTTATCTTATCTTGCACGTTGGTCATAGACCTGCCCAAGAGGAGCGAACGTGAATTATATGAAGGCCTATCCTTCGTATAATTTATACCGGTTTTTTTCTCAGGATACCGATAAACCTTGTACCCAGGAAACTGATTTATGAGTGGAACTAGCCCCTTCCAATGAAGTGAATAATCAGATATAGCAGGAGGTAGAAATTATATTATAAGGAGACAGTGGCGTAGCCAGGATTTATCCATAGGGGGGGGGGGGGGAGTTAAAATTTTTTTGGGAGGCGAAGCCCCCAAACTCTACTTTTAAATATTGGCAATATTATAGATAGTAACAAGCATGAATAAAAAAAATATTAGTAACAATTTTGGCTAAATTTATGATTAATAAGCGACTAAACACTGAAAACATTATTCTAAAAATTTAATCTATGTTTAGTCAATTGTAAATTAATCCATATAATTTAGAAAAAAAAAATTTGCTCCCCGAACCTTACATTTTTTAAGATCACTCAATATACCTGATTGAGTGTTAAAAATAATTCTTTTTTAAATTTTAGATATAGATTTTATTTATTATTAAAATACTTTAGCATAAATAAAATCTCTTTATTTAACTATGCATTTATTTTAATGATAATATACAATAAAATAAATTTCAAAATTTAGCAATTTTTATGTAGATTATTATATTAAAAATTTATTGTAAATAACTATATTTAAAAAATATATAATTCAATAAAATATAAGTAATTCTTGTACGGTATTTTAAAAAATATAATTTAACAATTATAATTAATACAAAATAATCTATAAATATTTCTTATTGCAAGAGCAATACTTTTATTAAAAATACATAAATATTATGACTAAGAATTCATTATAATTGAGTTTTGCATATAAAAATTTGATGACTAAGAAAATATGATAATCATAGAATTGAATTTATAAAGAGAGGTCTACTTTTCTCTGAGATTTGGCTAATTCATCTAGAATCAAATTTTTACCTAGAATAATCTCCTTATAAATATTTAAAAGGGCTAATCCATTTAAACGGTTTTCACTGGTGCTATTTCTTAAATAGGTTTTTAACCTTTTCAAAGTTGAAAAAGACCTTTCATTGGTGCAGGTACTAATCGGTAAAGTAGCTAAAATAAAATGTAATGTTTTGATATTTGGCAGGGAATCTAAAGTGCAATTACACATGGAAAGAGCCTGCAAAACATTTGTAGGTCTCAAAGAGTACTCTATTCTGTCGAGATTTTTATACCAAAATTCGACATCACAAAGTAACTTATCATACGATCCTGATAAATCATCAGAATAAAACTCTGAGATTTTCTTAATATCCTCTCTTCATGTGTAATTAACAATCTAGACTCAACCGGCAGAAGAAAATAAAAACTTTTTAAAATAAAATTATGACTAATTAATCTTTCTTTTAATTGAAATAAAAATGTGTCAATAAGGGGAATAAAAATATTTATTTTATAAAAATCCTCAATCGAAGAGGCATCAATATTTAAGCGATTTGACTGTCTAGCTAGGTTTAAAAATTTCAATCCTAAACAAATTAGCGATCTCCTTTACTTTCTTGTAAATATCATGAAATTTTTCATCCACATTTTCTCTGATATTTGTTAATATTTCAACAATATCCTTTGCCCTATTCATAACCTCTCTTAAATCCAAATTAATTTTTTGAAGTATTTTGCTAAAATCATAAGTATAATTAAATAAACATTGAATTGATATTAAAAATTGTGGCTTCGTAATCGCCTGTAAAAAATTTTCAGCATCTGAGGAATCCTTTTCTTTGCTAGATACGTAGGATTCGAGTGCTGCAAAAATAACTTCATATAATTCTATGAAGAGTCTCACCGATTGTTGTCTTTCGATAAACCTAGTTGGGCAAAATCGTTTTAGTTTTTTTTTTGGATTATTTGAATCAATATCATCAAATGTTCGGATAAATAACTGTCTCTTTTTGGGTGGTGTGAAAAAGTCACAAACCGACGATATTGTGTCTAAATTTTGAAAAATATATTAAATTATAAAAAGATATCTATAATACATAATAAAATCTAATAAATTCCAATTAAATTCCAATTAAATTAAAAAAAATTTACGTAAACTGTTCCGGATGTCTCGAATTTCACATGCCTCGGATATCATCAAATTTAGGCAATGTGAGCTGCAGTGAACATATAAAGCGGTGCTATAAAGCTCTCTAATTCTTGACTGCACTCCCTTAACATGACCACTCATTGAGGGAGCTCCATCATATCCCTGGCCTCTCATTAGATTTAAATCTAGATCTTGAAGGGATGCTAAAATTTCTTTGGCTATCGTCTCTGATTTAGTGTCATGTTAATCAATAAATTGAACAAAGAGTTCCTTCAATAATGACCTGATTCCATATCAATAAACCTTATTGCTATGGATAATTGCTCTATGTTACCAACATCCGATCTCTCATCAGCCAGAACACTAAAAAATGGTGATGCTTTCACTTTTGTAGAAATTTCTTTCAATATAAACTTATTGCATATGGATATAATTTCATTTTGAATGCATGGACTATGGTAGGTGGCATTTTTAGCTGAGCTTTCAAAAAGCTTATCATTATTGTTGCATAAAAGTTTCAGCAATTCCTTAAAATTCCCTTCATTATGAGAAGATGAAAGTGTTAAGGGGCCAGCTGATACTCTATGAGATCTTAATGCTAAGCCCTGCCTCCCTAGCCAAATGATTGCATCAATTATTATAATTATTCTGGCTCTGTTGGTTGTAACAATATCAATTTTTTTTTATTCAATACATTAGATATTGATATCTTTTGATTCATAAGATGGCTTTTAAAGCATCAGATATCTCACAAGAATTGAGATGATATTTATTTTGTTGATGATAATTAAAATTTTCAAGAGCATCTTTCCATCTTGTATATACTTGACTTACCAATGTTTTGAGTTTTTGTAACCCGGGTCCAGCATATCTTGGTGAAAAAATGACGCACACTTTACAAAAAGCTCCCTTTTCCTTAGCTGAATAAGCAAGCCACTTATATTTGTTAAGCCACGATGTTTGAAATGTTAAATTTCTTTTATCCAGAGACAATGGAAATTTATAGCATTTGTCAGGGGCCAAAATATTTTCCACAGCCAACAATTTTTCATTATCATTTTTAAACTGAAATTTTAAGTATAATGAAATATCTTTTTGAGGACATTGATTTTCTATATTTTTTTTTAAATTTTAAAATATATATTTCAATGTGAATTGTAGAGTTCAGACCTGAGCACAACAAGAAAAGAATATAGTTTATTAAAAATATATCTTAAATAAAGATTCAAGTTATCTATTACAAATTTAAAATACAGGGTAAGACATAGAAGGAAATTATTTGTTTTTATCTAAGATACAAGTTTTCACAATACTGCCCAACTCTGCTTGTGATGTTATAATATCTAAAGATTATTTGGGAATTTACAATAATCAAAATGATGAGCTTTTCATATAAAAAAGGGTTATAACTAAATAAAGCACATTGCAAAATTTTAATAACTCAAATGGAAATATAATTTACAAATAAAAAAATAGAACTCAATTATATTATAAAATACCATACCATCATTTGATGATTTTCTAGCCAAATCAACTGAGAGCTAAGATTCTTTAATAATACATAATTTTTCTAATTATAAAAAATTAAGAGAACTTATAAATGATAATTTAGAATTATACCATTATCATTTGATGATTTTATTTTAGCTAACTCATTTGTCTTCCCTGAGTATATTGGTTGTATTTCTAATTGCAAGATTAAAATAAAGATATTATAAAAGTGAATACCATTACCATCGTCATTTGAGGATTTTGTTATTCCTAAATCAAATTACATAAATTTTCTAATTCAATTTAAATATACCTTTATTTAGTAAAAATTTTATTATATCCATGTGGGAATTAAATAAAAATTTTAAAAACTATCTAAATTTAGTTTAACAATTTAAATTTTATTATTAAATTTAAAATATATAATTAAACAATAAAAATATATTTACAATATATATTTAATTGTTATTTAATATTTTATTAGTTCATAAAAATATATTTCATTTTAATATCGTTATTTTATTTCTAAATTGAAACAGTTTTTTAAATAAAATAAAATAAAATTAAAAAAAAAATTTTTTTTTGAGGGGTGATGAGGGGGGTTTCAAACCCCCTCCTTGTCTACGCCACTGTAAGGAGAATAGAATAGATATAGGAAACTGTCCAAAGTCTTCCAAATACAACCGTCTAATTATTACTTTAAGATATAATTTATTACAATAAAGGAGATAAGGAAAGGAAAGCCATTATCATTTTACCGATAACCAAAAAAGAGTCTTCTGATCTTTAAGAGCATATTACGATTACTTAAATTTAATTTATTACTTAAAACAATTAGAATTTGATTAAAATAAAAACTAAAATCACAATTAATTAAATTTAAACTATAATATATTAAAGAAGAAACTTGATCATCTTTAAATAAGAATCAAATATTGTTGAATATGTTGATCGATGTTATTTTATTTATTTTGGCAATTGATTTATTTTATATTATATCAATTTGTATTTAAATTTAATCGGTGAAAATTTTATATTAACATTTTTTTATACATCAATTTGTATTAGTTATTATTATTGTTTAAAAAAAAAGATATATAAAGAGATAAAAAAAAATGTAATTGAGCTTGGAAAATAAAAATGTAATTTATCATATAATAAAATTTAAATTATTATAAGAATATAAAATTATAACCAATATAAATTTTGACAAAAATAAAAAATATAAAATGATATTATTACTTAATGGAAAACCCTATTTAAGTATAATTAAGATACAATTAAGAATTAATTAAAATTAAAAACTAAAATCACAATTTATTAAATTAAATTATAGTAATTTAGAGAAGAAGCTTGACCATCTTTAAATAAATATCAAATAGTAAAATATAATTAAGATAATTATGGAAAGACCAAAAATAAAAATAAACATATGTTCTGAAATTTTTTCAAATGTGTTACTAAGGCTTTCATAGTGGAGATGGATTCGATTTCATGTCAAAACATCTAAATTGCCGGCGTCCGACAAGGCTTTCATAGTGATTTTTTTTTAACGTTTCGACTTAAAACAGATTAGACATTATATTTTTTTTTAAATGAACCAATATTCTTTAAAATTATATATTTATGATCTCAAAAATATAATTAATTATTTTAATAATATTGATATTTTGCCATGGCAAAATAATTTTTTAAACTAATATTTATTTATTCAGTATTTTGTATTATAAAATTTATATGTTTTGAATTCCTCTATACCTTATTGGTATATATTTTATTTTAATAAAAAAATATCATTAGTCATCCAAGAACTTGTTTATAAAATCATTAATTGGTACCAATTAACCATGTTTTTGATTATAAATAAATATTGTCTGCTATTGTATTCAAATTAAATACTTGGTGAATGGGTAATAATAAGATTAATTAGAAATTGATACTCTGATTTTTTAATGTGTCATTTTTTAAAAATTAGTTTGTATAAGAAAAGCTTTTGCCTGAAATTCTTAAAATAAAATTATACATATAAATAAATATTGTCTGCTATTGTAATCAAATTAAATACTTGGTGGTACAACAAATATTATAATATTTTATTTTCATTATATTTAAAAGATATAATGCCTAATCTGACAGACCATTCCCCATCAGCAAAGACAGACAAAACAATTCTTCAACAATTGAATCTAGAATTTTAAGAGACAAATTTAAAAAATTTTTAAACTCTTAATTATTTTTTTATATATTATTGTTAATTATATCAAATATGTAATTGATTTTGTTATTATTTAGAATATTACCTAATAAATATATTTATATAATAAAATATAATTGTGTTTAAATTTTTAAATCTTAAATTCCAGAATTTATTTGACAAAAAATTTAATAAAAAAATGAATAGTTAATGAGTAATTTATTAATGATATTATAATTTCTATATTATTAAAAGCACTTTGTATTAGAAAGTATATATTTTTTAATAAATCTAATTTTCTTTATATGTAAAAGATACAAGGCCCAATCTGATCACTAGACCATTCTCTATTGGCAGAGACAGACAAAACAATTGAATCAAGAATTTTAAGAGACAAATTTAAAAATTTTTTAAAGTCTTTTATTTTTTTATATATCATTGTTATAAATATTGAATTGTATCAAATATAAAATTGATTATTGTTATTATTTAGAATATTACCTAATAAATAAAGTTATAAATAAAATAGAATTGTTGATTAAATTTTTAAATCTTTATTCTGATCACCTTATAATTTAAAATCTCAAAATTTATTATACAAAAAAATTTATTAATGATATTATAATTTCTATATATATTATTTTTATTCGAATTAAGTGTGTATATATTAATAAATCTAATTTTTCATTCTTTTTTAATAAATTAGGACACTATTTTAATAAATAAAAACTTTATGAATATTTATTTTAAATACTAAAAGATATCTAATAAAAAATTTGGATATTATAATTAATTTTATTGAGAAATAAGAATACAATAAAATCATATTATTTATAAATAATATATATATATATATATAAATAATTTATTCAATGATGCTTTTAAATATTTTAATGGCAGTGTCATCATTTTCCACTATTTGTTCCATTTGTCATAATTGGTAAGCAGATAATAATTCCCCGGAAAAAAAATCCCGGAAAAAAATCCCCGGAAATTAATTCCCTGGAAAAAAATCCCCAGGAAAATAATTCCCCGGAAAAAAATTCCCCAGAAAATAATTCCCAGGTAAATGATTCTCCGGAAAAAAAATCCCCGGAATAAAATTCCCCTGGAAAATAATTCCCCGGAAAAAATTTCCCCACTATACATTGAATTGCTAATGCATTGCTAAACTGCATTGCTAAAAAGCAATCAATCATAATTAATTATAAATCAATCAAAAATTTATTACGCATATTTTTTTAATGATAATTTTTTAAACTTTTTTTAAAATATATTTAAATCATTTTTTTTATTATAAATGAAGAATAGATTAAATGATATAGTATATAATTTTATTTTTATTTAATATTATTAGTAAGAAATTTATTTTTCTAGCTTATTAAAACAAAAGTACATTTTATTCAATTTTAAAAATTAACAAATATATATCCGTAAGAGGGCGTTATATGTTTAATATGTATCATTTTAGGAAACCGGAATGATGATTGGATAGCACTTTTTTTATATTTGGGTATATATATACATATGAAAAACCTAAAAATTAAAATTTTTTTTTAGGTTTCTTTGATGTTTAATGAGTAGGTTTAGAATAGTAAAACAATGTATTTTCAAAATATTTTTTAGAATAATGCTTAGCACGTAAATATACACGTATAAAACAAAAATGAAGAGATTTTGATAAATAACGCCAGCAATATTTACTTTAAAAAATTTCCATTGTTTTACTATTCTAAACCTACTCATTAAACATCAAAGAAACCTAAAAAAATTTTTAATTTTTAGGTTTTTCATATGTATATATATACCCAAATATAAAAAAAGTGCTATCCAATCATCATTCCGGTTTCCTAAAATGATACATTCTTAAAACATATAACGCCCTCTTACGGATATATATTTGTTAATTTTTAAAATTGAATAAAATGTATATTTGTTTTAATAAGCTAGAAAAATAAATTTCTTATTAATAATATTAAATAAAAATAAAATTATATACTATATCATTTAATCAGTATTCTTCATTTATAATAAAAAAATGATTTAAATATATTTTAAAAAAAGTTTAAAAAATTATCATTAAAAAATTATACGTAATAAATTTTTGATTGATTTATAATTGATAATGATTGATTGCCTTTTAGCAATGCAGTTTAGCAATGCATTAGCAATTCAATGTATAGTGGGGAAATTTTTTCCGGGGAATTATTTTCCAGGGGAATTTTATTCCGGGGATTTTTTTTCCGAGAATTATTTACCTGGGAATTATTTTCTGGGGAATTTTTTTCCGGGGAATTATTTTCCTGGGGATTTTTTTCCGGGGAATTAATTTCCGGGGATTTATTTTCCAGGAATTTTTTTCCGGGATTTTTTTTTCCGGGGAATTATTTTCCGGGATTCGTCATAATTGGGAGACTTTGATTTGTAAAATTTGATGAGTCATTTTTATTTTTATAATTTTATGTTTTAGTTAAATTGGTGAGTCATTGTTATTTTTATAATTTTATGTTTTAATCTCGTTAACATTTAATTTTTAGATTTAATTATTGTAAAGTCATTATGATGGGATAATTTATAATTTCTAAAAATGTATTTTTATCTCATAATTATAATTTGAGGCATGATTAGGTGCTCTATAATTGTAAAAGAAACTATTTTTAGATTGTTAAATTTTAATTATTTATTTGTGATGATTATTGCTTCCCTATAAAATAGAATCGAAATAGTAAATTATCAATTCATTTTATTTTTGAATTCATTTTTTTTAATTAATTTTTTTTTCACAGTTAATTTTTTTTCGTTTTAAAAATTATAATATTTTTTATTGGTTAAATAAAGAAAATTTGTAGTAAATTAATAGTTGCATGTGGACAACGTGATACCATTGGTATAAAATTATTTATGCTAAGGGAATACATGAGTTTCATAACCTCAGATTTAAAAATATACTGGCTATGTATACTATGCTCATCGAGCCCTCCTTTCAATGATAGTAGAAACAACCTTGATAAAATATAAGCTTTTAAAGATAATTATAAATTTTACCTATTTGGAGATAAAAATATATTCTTTTTTTATTTGACTTTTATATAAAAAAAGCATTTGTATAATATTCATTTGACTTTAGATATAGTTAAATTTGATTGTTGTATGCGTGGTGTTAATGTTTTGTTTAAAAATGATAATGTTTCATAATAAGGCCATGTTGATTTATATGGTGGCCCAGCTGAACCACTTGGACTATCTATTGTTTTTTGTATTCCCTATTCTGATAGTCTCTTAAATTATTTTAGCTTTTAAATCGTCACCTAAAAAATATATAATAGATTAAATATTTATCTAATAATTATTGCAAATGTTAGTTTAATTAAAAAATTAAGATTTACCTGATTGACCAAATTGCAATCCTATATTTTTCCAATATTCGGTTTTTTTATGTACATCTTTGTAATTTTCATCTGTTTTTTCGTAAATAAATCTTGAATCTTTAATAGTATCAATAAAATGATATATATTTATATCTAAGTAACGTTATAATGCTCTATAATATTTGCCGGATCAAAAAGTCAAATTGTTTTGACTTCAAAATTTGCCGAATCCGATTTTAAATCGGAAGGTATCGGAACGGACGCACTTTGAACATATATATCATTTTTAATAAGTTTGACTTTTGACGGCAGGTGTAAAAAACGGATCCGTCTCCACTATGAATGCAGCCTAAACTAATTCATTTCGAACGTCAATCGTTGAAAAAAAGTGATGCGATATAAACTGTGGATCAGGACAAAAGTCCGTGAAACAAATGAATTACTTGTGAATTGACAACCTTTGAATCATTGTGTTGAACCCCTCTTTAGGGCCGTCAATAGCCTTTACAATCGCATAGTTCAAATTTTTTTTTAAAAAATTATTTTCAAAATTACTTTTTTTTGCTAACATTTTAAAAATTTTTGGAGACGCCCCTGTGTGCTCCCTCCTAGTAACGCTACTACATCTCTTTGGGATCCTCAGTTTGGGCGAAGCGCTTTAAACCAGTAGAGTCAAGGGGAGAGGGGCAGGGGCTCGAGCCCACAAAATAATTTAAATAACCCCCCGAAGCAAAATCAATGCTTTTGATAACATAAGTAACCATTTGAATTCAATTCTTTAGTGCCATCTATTTATTTTTAATAAAATTATATTACCAAAAATTACGTGATACGTGATATAGAACGTTTTCGCCCTCTAGTTGTGGATACAACAGAGCTACGTTAGGTTTTCCTCATAATCCATTTGACTGGACAAATTAAAATGGGGATAAAAATGAGGAGCCCTTCACACGTTTGTGGGCAAGCCGCACGTACTTGTACGAGTAATAGTCCAAGGACTATTACTTAAACGTCTATGGGCTGATGAGGAATGGACAAAAATAATCACAGCCCACACCCATAAGATGCTTATATACATAATAGATTTTAAAGGCAAAGGAGGAGCTAACTTTAAGATGAGAAAATTGATAGCAAATAATAGATGAAAGGAAAAGTTCGATATAGAATGAGGGGAGAGAAAAGGCAGTAAAAAGTAAAATAAAGGAAGATAAAACAAAAGTAAAAATAGCCTGTGTCAAGAAGGAGTTTATGAAAGATTCAAATAATTTGATTTGATCTTCAACAGTTTACTTGTTGATTTCTTATCTTTATTCAACCTTAAAAACTGTTTAAATCCATGATATCCTTTACTGCCCTATAAAACCATAAAGTTTTATATTTCCCATAGATTTTGCCATTGAAAGAGTATAACCAATTTAGGACCAGGCTATTGTTTGTGTGATTCCTCAGAATGTGTGCAAAAAAGGTAAGATGTTTCTTTTTCAAAGTCACTTGCACTAGAGTGAGACGTGACATCTGCCAAAGGTTAACATTAGAGATAATGTTGGGGTAAAAAATGCCATTTATTATCCTAAAACATTTGTTGACGAACACCTGTAATCTCCTGATCTCTGTCTTCGTAATCTTCCATATATCACCGCCGTAAAGGAGAATTGGGATGATGGTGGAATTGAAAATACGTAATCTAGTGTAAACCGATATTTCCCTGGAATTCCACAGTTTGAAATATTTGTAAAAAGCAGCCCTTGCATTATGAATTCTGATTTTTA